ACACACACACACACACACACACACACACAGATGTCTCTCCAGCTGCAGGATGGTCCGAACAATGTAGTGTTCAGTGTGACCACTCAGTACCAGGGAACCTCTCGCTGTCAGGGAACCATCTACCTCTGGAACTGGGACGACAAGATAATTATCTCCGACATAGATGGAACCATCACCAGGTCAGTGCATATACATTTCTATATATACAGTATAGAATACGTTTGTACGTATATGAAGTGAAAATAGGTGATATATGTTCCTATGGAGCAAAATGGCGTAGTCACATGTAAGATGTGACCTTCTATGAAATAAACGACCTTTTAATGAATGTGAGAATTCATATATTCTTTTCACAAGTGTCATTTGTCATCTGTATTCACTGTAGATAATGATGCACCTATTCTATTTTGGTTTAAAGATTAAAGTGAGCAGATGGTTTCATGGTATTTTTCATACTAAATAATAAAAACACAGTTTTTCAAATATCACTTGTGTTTGTCTCCAGGTCAGACACATTAGGTCACATCCTGCCCACGCTGGGGAAAGACTGGACCCACCAGGGCATCGCACACCTCTACCACAAAGTCAGCGAGTAAGCACTAATCTATCGACACACGTCTCATTGTTTTTATCAAAGCTTAAAAGAATTTGAAGAAAGTATAGAGCAGAATTTACAACCATGACTGATCTATGGCTCCATTAGAAATGGCTACAAGTTCCTGTACTGCTCAGCACGAGCCATCGGCATGGCTGACATGACCAGAGGTTACCTTCACTGGGTCAATGAGAGAGGCACCATGCTTCCTGTCGGCCCCGTTCTTCTGAGCCCCAGCAGCCTGTTCTCCGCTCTGCACAGGTCTCACATCCACACAAGCACATAGATAGACAGCAGATATTTCTTCAAATGTCGTCGCTCTCTGTGACATTGAGGGTTGTTGTGTTGCGTTGTGTTTGACAGGGAGGTGATTGAGAAGAAACCAGAGAAGTTCAAGATTCAGTGTCTCAATGATATCAAGAACCTCTTCTACCCCAACACACAGCCTTTCTATGCAGCTTTTGGCAACAGACCAACGGTACACACACACAAACACACACACACACACACTGCACATATTTTATACAGTATTTAATTTTTTTTGATTTTTTGATTATTATTATACACATCTCATCTGTTTAAAAGAGATGTGTGTTATTTCTAACATTAAATCCTTCTCCTCTTGTATATTTGTAGGATGTATACTCCTACAAAGAAGTAGGAGTACCACTCAACAGGATTTTTACAGTTAATCCCAAAGGCGAGCTGGTGCAGGAGCACGCCAAGACCAACATCTCCTCGTAAGTCCTGCATCCACTGTACAACACCTCCACTGGAGGAGATGTTGTTATTACATGAAATGTTGAGTTTAATCATTTATCGTGTCTGACTCTTGTTTCCGCTCTTCTTTCCAGCTACGCACGTCTCGGTGAGGTGGTGGACCACGTGTTCCCCCTGAAGATGCGCACCTCTTCCTCGGACTTCCCCTGCTCGGACACCTACAGCCAATTCACGTACTGGAGGAATCAGCTCCCCCGGGTGGATCCTCAGGGTACGACACCCCCACAGGGTCCCGGCCCCCACAGCTGACCGCCTGAGGCCTGCTGAGCGACTTCTTGGCGGGCGGAGTGGAGAGTGATGGTTATGTGTGTGTGATATGGATTTGTTTTGTAGATTTTTATGACAGAGGGAGAACTTTAACAGTGCACAGTGGAGCATCTGAGTAGTCGGCCATTTGGCTGTGAATAGTCTTACAATGCACAATATGGACGTCAGCGCACTTTGATGAAAAGATGGCCTCCGGTGTCATCTGTATGTATATGAGAAATAATCATAATTTATTCAGGCAGCTTAGCACATATTATTTTGGAGTGATTGTTGATTATTTCAGTAGATGAACTTTCTATTTATGCATAAATACTTAACAATAAGCGCTTCATCCATACTTTAGAAAGCAAGTTATCAAAACATGTAGAATTTATTTTCTTACTTGAAACTGTTAATGTATGATAGATACATGCAAGCTGGTTTTACATTATAGAAATATATACAGCATGTGTTATTCAGTTTGAAATGAATCAGTATTAGTTATTTAGGACGTCACAAAGTATTACAGCGCACAATGTACTGTATGGAGAAGCATCTATGTAGCCGACAAAAGGTTTGTTATAAAGATGGTTTAAGTGAATATGTATTGTTGAGACAATGCTGATAAAACAACAAAGCACAATATTTTAAAGGTCACAGCCATGACATTTCTCTGTATCTGCAGGAGGAGCTAAATCATGTGGTTTTGTTGAGAATGTCATTTCCATGGCAGCCTTCGTTAAGTGTCTTTCAATTTATTTATACGCAAACACACTGATCAGCTCTAATGTGTTTTCCACTTTTTTTTAACAAATGACACGATGTGCAACCGACTGACGTTAAAATGTTGCCCCCTATTGGTTCTTTTACTGTATTGTTACTGCCATTCCTTGTAGAATAGGACTCAAAGCAAACCTGACTCTGGAAATCCTCATCGGACTCAACCCAGTGTAGAGAGGACAGCAGGCCGTGGGATAAAAGTTACAGACATAGGAAGAAGAACGCTTATTTCTTTCAACACCACACACAATATGAGGTCATTACTGTGAGCCGCTGTCGCCATGTCCTGTATCACTGACCTGATCGTCACAGTGGCTGCGAGTAAACCTGTAGTTTATGAGTTTGTATATAATGCTTTGATATGCTGATATTATTCTTTCTATGAAAGAGCTAAAAATAGCCTCAAAGTGTTTCATTTTTTGCCTTAACTGTGAACAGGATCAGTCATTTGCTCATTTACTCTATCGACCAGTTCACTGTTAAAATCTGTGTAATCAAACTCAATAAAAATGCCCTGGAACAACAACAAGTGTGTTTTAATTAATTTACTGCATGTTACTTTTTTATAACATTGATGATTCATCTGCTTTCATATTTTACTTTCACTTGAAAAGCAGTTAAACACTGAATTAACATTTCAATTTCAGATTCAATAGTTGGTTGTGTACAGTATGTGCATGTCAACATACAGCATATTCAGGCACTTTTCTACTTTTCTATCTTACTTTTAGTTATCCTCAAGCATTATAATGTTTTCTTTTTTTTGTATTTTTTCAATTTCCTTTAACCTTTTTGCACTTTCCTCTAAATCAAAGCTTAAAATATACTTTTATCACATTCCCTTTCCTAATTTGACCTAATTCTAGTTTTTATCATTATTATGGTTGGTCTTAATTCACTTTTTATATTTTATTTATTTATTTGAATAAATAAGTTTTCATTGGTTTTTACTTGTGTTTGATTTTGAGAAGCACTTTGTAACTTTATTTTGAGAATACATAACAATATTACTATCACTATTATTAAGGTTATGTTACTATGATGTCGTTGTAATCTCTGTCATGAGTAATAATGAATTTAAATACAATCTTTAAATATAATGTGGGGGTTATTAGAGGTCATGGGGGCTGAACAGTTACAATATAGAGAAGGAGGAGTTTCCAAATCCCAGCGACACCATTGGCAGTCTGCAGCCACCACAGGGCGCAGCGGAGGAAGGAATCTGAAACAAAACTAAAACTAAAGTGGACGTGGACAGAAACACATGCACCTGCAGCAGTGCGCGTTTGTGTGTGTGTGTGTGTGTGTGTGTGTGAAAGACGCAAACGGTAAGAGACAGTTTATTTTCATGCAGATCTCTTGTTGCAAGTAGCTGCAAACCTTTTAAAACCTACTAGTGACTATTATTATAAAGTACATGCTACTCTGTGACCTTCCTGTGGTCTGTGGTCTTATTTGTCTGTAGTGAGGGAACTCAGATCCGAGCAGAGTTCTTTGCTTTTGTTACTGACGTTATTAGAAGTCCACGTTGCCTAACAGCTCTCACTCAGCATTAGAAGGTCAGAGTACAAAACACTGCAGATAGTGGGTCAGTGTGTTATTTGGTTCATAACTGGATAAATGCATTTGTGTTTTAAAGACAAAGTTCTTGCAACATTAGCGGTTTTTCTACAGTTCCACAAATGGCGTCCTCTTGTAAAGTCGATATTTATTAATACATTTGATTTCTTTCTTCAGCCTGTCATTCTGAAGCTGGACGATACGACCATTTATGAAAATGATGTTGCAATAATTATTGATATTGTTTTATGCCCAGCCTTAAATCATTCTATGGAGAGATACTCAGATTTTTTTAGCTGAAGTAATTTTTCTCACAGTTCTATAAACTTCATGTTTAATGGTGATGTAGACATCTATACTGAATGTAACTTCATCGACTGATTTTATAATATTAATTTATAACCCCTGTTTGAACCTGATAGTATAAATAAATATTAATGAATAGTAATTGAAATATGAGTAGTCTGTGTTGCTGGTTGTTATTTGGACCCACACCAGCGTAACCTCTCCAAGCATGTCTTATATTCTCATTTTGTTAGTTATTCAGGACAAAGAGCCACAATTATACAGGAGGACAAGACACAATCAGAGTAACTAACCAATAACAGACATAAGTGGGGAAGGAAAAATAGAGAATCCGGGAATCTTCTACTAAAGGTGTCAAACTTCAACTTAAACATCAGCACGTCTCCTCTCCTTTCAGCACAGTGCTTCAGACCGAGCAGGGATGGAGGATTTTGTGGATATCCTGGAGGAGAGGAGGCGCAGCTGTGACCTCGGCCATGCCCTCAGGACCTTTAACCCCCACCCCTACCAAGGAGCGTCCCCCTGCTCCACGGCTGAGCTCAACAAAGCCGTGCTGGAGTCCCAGTATCTACGCTACGTGACTGAAGAGGTGAGAATGTGGCATTTAAAACAAAAGGGGTTTCACTCTGCAGCTGAAACATTATGGAGTCACCTCCCTGCCTCCCTCCTCAGATTGCCACAGAGACGAGGTCGTCGGTGGTGGAGGTGAGGGAAGAGGCTTGCAGGCTTTTGGAAGAAATGTCTCACAACCTGCAGCTGGGCTTTATCCGGCTGATGGGCTACACCCTCACCAAGGTGGCCAAGAGGCTCTTCAGCAGCATCTACGTCAACATGGAGGGCCTCAGCAGGGTCAGGACCAACAACTGAATGGACAACTTCTCTCACAAACTGTCAATGACATGACACTTCAGCTGTGTTTCTAATTCCTCTGTCCCCACAGCTCCAAAAAGCCATCCAGGAGACGCCTGTCATCCTGATGCCCAATCACAAGAGCTACATGGACTTCTTAATCATCTCCTACATCATGTTCACCTACGACATCCCTATTCCTGTTATCGCTGCAGGAATTCGCAAGTATCTATTAGGATTAAAACAACAGAGCATTATAGATAACGTAAGATCATATCAAAACACCTGCATTCATTTCTCTATTTTTCCCTTAAAGCTCTTGCAGGGATGAAGATGGTGGGAGAGATACTGCGTCGCTCTGGGGCGTTTTTCATCCGCCGCGCCATCGGCTCTGACAAACTGTACTGGGCAGTGCTGTCGGAATATGTCAAAACCATTGTCAGGGTAAGATGTGGCATTCTTCTCTGTCGTAGCTGTTTTAGAAAGTGTTTGTCAAAACTTGTTTGAAAAGATGCCTCCAACAGTTTGATGTCTTCTCTGCAGAAAGGATTCGCTCCCATGGAGTTTTATGTGGAAGGGTTGAGGAGTCGCACGCTGAAGTCGCTGACGCCGAAGTTAGGTGAGTGTCCGCATGTTGTGTGTTTGTGTGTCTGTGAACGTGAAATATCAGGAACAGGAATTTCATTACATCTGGCCCAAACACTCAGGGATGACCTGATTAAAAATGTGCAGGTCAACAGTTAAATGTTACTGTGACTTCACAAAACCGTGGACACGTTATCTTACAATCGCTTCGAGAGAATCAATTCAGTTTTGGCACAAGTGTTACTTGGACTCAGGTTAACTGAACGAATGTGGGTGGTGAAATGTCAAAGTAACGGTGGCTTCACAAAACATGTTTTAGCCTCTTGAATGTGAGCCTTGAGGGAATTTCTATATATTTTGACCAGTTGTCACTTGAACTCAAATGTTAATTTTCCTGCAGTAGACAACCGCTGCTTACATCGATGATTATTTGAAAATAATTTTATTACAAATAAAATGTAAAGTGGTAAAACGGCAGAGTGGTTGTGTGTGTGTGTGTGTGTGTGTAGGTATGATGCACATGGTGCTGGATCCCTACTTTAAGAGTGAGGTGTTTGACATCACGCTGGTGCCCATCAGCATCAGCTACGACAGGGTGCTGGAGGAGTCGCTGCTCGCCCATGAGTTGCTGGGTGTCCCCAAGCCCAAAGAAAGCACTACAGTATGTCCTTGTTTCTTAAAATGTGTCCATTTATTGCATTTGCAAACAATCGGACCATGTGACTCCTACTCAGTAAGGTCATGTTTAAATAAAGCTGATTATTCTTGCTCGTGACGCACTCCCAGCCTCGCTCTCTCTCTGCAGGGTCTGCTGAAGGCCACCAAAGTGCTCCAGGAAGATTACGGCACCATGCATGTGAACTTTGGCCGTCCGCTGTCAGTCAGACAGATGTGTGAGGGCAAGATCAACCGCTGCCAGTACAACCTCACACCCAGGTCTGGAAAGTTCTTTACAAATCTGTGCAGCACATCTGCATGTGTACCACGTTTAGCCTCCAGGGAGTAAGCTGGGATTTTAGAAATGAGGAGGTCATGAGGTCTAATTCCTCTTTTACACTTTAAGAATTTACAGTAAATCCCCTTCAAAAAAGTGCAAATTATAAATTGTAAGACAGCTCAGTAATTATTTAAAAAAGTTAGAGAATGACAGTATATTACTGATCTTCTGTTGAAGCGTTGCTGGCCATTCCAAAATCAAGGAGACAGAGACTTTGCCGTAGGGCCCCTACACTTTGGAACAATCTGCCAGAAGAGATTAGACAAGCAGAATCGGTTTATAAAAAAAGCTTTTACCATTTGATGTCTATGACTTTTGTTTATTTATAGTTTTACATGAGCAGAATTAATCGTGAAGTGTTAGTAATGAGGCTCGCTGTTGAATAATGACGCTTAAACCGAAGACATTAACATTCAAAGAGAGAGGAGACGTGACGATTGAGCAGCAGCTCCTTGAAAAAAACCCATCATGGCCTCAAAACAAAACACACCAACTAGGGATGTACATAGTTATCAGTTTAACCTTCAAGCTTTGACTGATTCATAAAAGTTTTTACATCCAGAGCAGGATGACAATCCAAATGCAGACGTCACACTTGAGGACAGATTCTAGAAACTTAAGTACATGGAAAGGGAGAAGTGTGCAAAAACAGCAGAAGTCATGGTCAAAAAACAAAATGTCTTTTATCAGAAGTCTGTGGACGAATCTTGATGCTGGAAACGTCACTGGCAAATACATTATTTTCAACGGGAGCTGTAAGGTTTAAGGATTCTCTCTTTTTCAAATGTTTGGTTGTGTTGATCCAGCAGCCATCAAAAGATTTTTGAACTTACATGAGGGAAACACCAGGAACCTGACGAGACAAAGAGGTGAGGAACACAGGGAGGCAACGAGACACAGATGGAAACAATCAGGGCGCTGCAGATTATCAGGGAAGGTGGAAATCAGACAGAGAAAGAAAGTGAGGTGCACTGACATGAGACACAAGGATAAGTTGCACAATTAAACAGGACTTAACTGAATGTGGAAGAACAGAAAAAAACAACTAAACTCAAGAAGCAAATGACTAAAATCCAAAAACCAAACACAAGGAAATAGTCCATAAATACCAAGAGTCTAACAAAAAGATCCCAACAGAAAGTTTTTTTTATTATTTAATTTATTATTCAACAAGTTATTCATCTTATTAAAACAGTTTAAATATTACCTAAGGAGCAGTAGTCATCTATTTTCCTGTCTAACTGCACATACAGTCTGTTTGACTGTTTGTCTCGTTCTTCCTCCTGCTCACTCCCTCCTCTTCTCCCTCTTTGTCTCTATTCACAGGGATCTTCCTCAGAAGCCCACTGCGGAGGCTCAGGCCTGTGTGAGCTGGCTGGCTCATCTCATGGTGCAAGTCCAAGAAGAGGGCTCTGTGATCAGCCCGTGGTCTCTGATGGCCTGCCTGTTGCTCCAGGCTCCGATCACAGTGCTAACTGAGGAGGGTCTGCTGTGGCATCAGCTCACTGAACAAACCCTCTGGCTCAGGAAGCTGGCGCTGGACCTCGGAGCTCGTCTGAACTGGCCTGGTGGGTGAGACTTAACTCACAAGCTACTTTCAGACATGCAGTGATGTAGTAAGCGAAAGACAAACTCTGCATTTATCATTGTACAATACTAATATAAAACCCACAGTGGGAGGAAGTTCCGCTTCTCCTGCTCTCAGCAAATACACAAGTGCAGGAGGACACTGTCCAGCTTTAAACCTCGGGGCGAGATAATGTTTCACAGCAGTTCCAGTAAGGGGACATTGTCGTCCACAAAGGTCCTGAGAGGAAAGTGTTTTTTAAATGTGACACTGTACAAAAGAAAATGCATCAAAAGCAATGTTAATGATCGTCAGTGACATATACCAGGCTGTGATAACCCTCCATTACAAATCCTAATATCATATAGTATACGGAAAATAATTAATTTTATGTGTTTTAATAAAAACTAAAAAATTCCAGTATTTTTTAAACTGATATTTAAAGGATCAAACTACTGAAAATAAGTTGTAGTGATCTGAACTCGTGTTGGTAAAAATAAGTTAACTGAAAGTGAAAAGTAACATTAATTCAGCTGCATCAGGACCAATCACATGAGTGGGATCAGTGTTAAGCTCTGCTCACTCTCTATGAGGATTACTTTCTCGTCCCTTTAGTGACCAATAGGTGGCGTTTTCATACTGCATTTCGAGCGAGCCAGCCAAGGTTGATGCAGAGGAAAGTAAGAGAGTGCAGAAATGTGTCAGCGTCTCACCTCGTGTGTCTGAACCTCAGCCTGAGGTAGATCAGACAGATTAGATGAATGTGAGTTGGCACAAGTGATCAGATTCACTTAGGAGATGTTCAGTGGATTAATGCACTTAAAGGAACTTATCCTAAGAGTACCCCGCTGCACTGTCTCACTTTAGACGTCTTTAGTGTGTGAAGATTCACACACGTGTACATATATGTTTACAATCCTGACGCCTCCCTGACCTTCTGCGACTCCTGCCTATAGAAGACAGATCATTTTGTGATCGCTCTCTGCAGCACAAACTCCTGACCTGGACGTGATGTCATCCGCCGTGGCCCTCCACTGCTCCACAGTTCACCGGAAAGCGGGGCGAGTCTACCTGGTTCAGGAGAAAGAGCCGGTGAGGAGGCATCCAATCAGCCCACAGGAGAGTGTGATGAGGACGGCGTCTGGGGTGCTGATGCTGGCCTCCTACAGGAATCAGGCGCTGCACGTATTTGTGCGTCCAGCCCTGCTCGCCACGGCCATGCACATCACAAAGAGCACACAGAGAGGTGAGGATCAGACGTGATATATCTGTCAAACCCTACATGTTTTCCTCGTTCTTCATCGTGATCCGTTCCATTCACAGACGAGCTCTTCGCCTTCTTCTGCTTCCTACAGGACCTCTTCTCCTACGAGTTCATCTCCATCCCGGGCGAGTTGTCTCAGGTAACACGCTCATCTGTCAGGGCTAAGCATCCTCCGAGCATCTCGGGACAAAGAGGATTATGGTCCTCTTAAATCATGTATGAAATGTTAGCTCACAGCTCAACCTCTGACATGTTAGGCTCGGTCAGCTGATAGAATCCCAGGTTATCTAGTTAAACCAATTAACCACTAATCTTTTTCTGCAGATGATTTTTGAGGTGTTATAGTGTTTGTGTGTGTTTGTTTATCATCAGGACTTTGAGAAGGCGTGCTCCCTCCTGAAGAAATGTGGAGCCGCCCACATCAACCAGCAGGAAGTGACGCTTTCAGATACGGGGGAGGAGACGATATCGTTCCTGCGGGCTCTCATACAACCCTTCATGGATTCATACCAGGTCCTTTCACTTCTCCCATCGCTGATATTTTTGGTCATAGATTCCAGTTCTAGTTTTAAGTTGTTACTTCAAAACAGTCCTGGATCCTGATGAAAAAATGTTAAGAGGTGTTTATGATATTTATGAGTTTGTGCAATTTGGTGCAGATCCAAATAAAAATCTGGATCTAGTGAATTTAAATGTGTTTGTTATGCCGGGGAGTTATGCATTTAAACTGAGTGCCATTCTTTAGACAGTACAATCAAATGTGACTCCTTTCAGTTATATAAATAGTTTCTTAATCCTATCATTAGCTTGTTAGTTTATAGGCACTACACCCTTTTTAAATGGACTCTTATAATTGAAAAATTCCTTAGAGACTCTCTGTCGCTGACAATTGTTGTTTGGGTTTTTTGAGTCACAATTCCAAATCATTTTCTGTCAGCTTTTGAAATCGCTGCTTAAGACACAGTTGAAATTTTCACAACGAGAGAAAAAGAGAGTCTTGTGATCCTCTGCTTGATGAGGTGTGTTTTTATATGCAGGCGATGCTCAGGTACCTCTCTGAAGAAGGCGCTCACATGCTCACAGAGAAACAGTTCCTACCTGCTGTGAGAAACCTGGCTACCAGGCTCATCCTCTCAGGTAAAAACAGAAAGTGTGAGATACGACCTCTGACCTCTCCAACCACCTCTAGCGGCTAAGTGTGTCTGTTATATCGCAGGTGAGCTGGACACCTATGAGGCCCTCTCATCAGACACGCAGAAAAACGTTTTGATGGCCCTGCAGCGGCTGCAGGCTGTGACAAAGTCCAGGGCGTGAGTAATGAGATCAGCCCCTGCAAGTCTGTTTGGTTTTAAGCTCATTTTCTGAGGTGGTTGAGAAGCTGCGTTCACTTCTGATGCCAGAGTTACGCACGTTAAGTTTCTGTATCCTGTTTTCTCATCACAGCTCCGAGCAGAACGAATTGAAAGTGAACAAAGCTGCCGTCAGAAGAATTGAAGACGTACTTTGTAAGTTGTGGGATTTTAAAGAAGATAGATGAGCTGTTTTGTGACTGTTGAGGTTTTGTATTTGAGTATTTTGCCGTAGTTTACCTTTTAAAATACTTAACTTTGTTTACCACGCCACACAAACAGCAGCCTGAGGGATTTTTCCTCTCCTCTCTCGTTGTAGCTGGGAAAATCCCTCCCCAGATGCTCCAGACGACACCTGACGCAAGACTTTAGTCTCCTTTTGGAACGGATCCATCCTCGGGAATCAGCCCACGGTCCTATTTACCCCTGCTTGACCCTTTTCACCCTTTCTGTCTTCACATCTTTCTTCCTCCTTGTCTTCCCTCTGGGTCTTTCATGCAACAGACGAAATATACTTCATCCTGCAACTTGGCTGCTTTCCGACTCTGTCTCTGGGAACTTTTTCTCATCCTTTACATATCTTAAAGAACAGAGCTAAGATAAAACGCAAGAGTGATATTATTGCTGATTTTTTAAGGCTATAATCAGAAAGTAATTTTTTAGGAGAGAAGTGTTTTTCTGGGCTTCTAACTGTGAAACAAGCAATGAGGACACCTGTGGATTTCAATACTGAATTAATAACTTATACTTGTTTAATATATTTGAAAGATTCTGTCCTTGATTGATTATTAAATGACATGCTGACATGGTAAGTGAAGTTAGATAGTGAAAACTCAACTATGACCAATGTCCATAGCGATAAAGGTTTAATTACAACAACGATGTCGAATCACTTTGTTTGAGACGTTTATTTTAACTCAGTTACATCTCAATAAATGTAAAACAGTTGTAACAAAATGCACCAAGGATTCTTCCGTCTTTTTCACACTTGAACATAATTTCGTCTCTGACTGTTGGAACTATTCCCTCAGGTCAGAGGTCAACCTCCTGTCACATCTCTGCATCCCTGCACCAGTGACCCCTCAGTAGTTTGGAGAAAAGGCCTCATTATGTGCCATTTAAGTGCTGAGTTGCTGTACAAAGATTATCTATACACGGGTGGCACGTCGACCTTGATGCGTAAAGCGCTGACCGGGTCTTGACAGAACACCGAGATGTATTCCAACACTTTAGAGTTGAGCTTTTTCTCGCACTCTTTGGCTCGGACCCGCTCCTTGTCCCACCTCTCCTTCTCGCCGTTCATCTGGGAGAACAGGTTGATCTGGATGGTGCGTAGCGTCGCTGCCAGGACGTAGAAGCCTCCCTGCATCATGTGGCAAAACGCTGCGCCCAGGCTGAGCGCCGCGCCCATCAGGTTTGGCACCGTCTCGCACACCACGCACATGCACTCCAGCAGGTGCAGCGTGCCTTTCTTGGCCGGGGGCTGGCCCTGGTGGAGGTAGCCATGGGGGTTTGGAGGCGGCTGGAAATGGTTGACCAGGTACCGAGCGAAGTCGGCGAAGTGGGTGGCGGCGCGGCGCAGCGGCAGCAGGGCCAGGTACAGGTGACAAGCGGCTTTGGTCAGCGCATGGAAGAGCAGCCGCAGCTCAAGCACGGCGTTTCCTGGGGATAAGAGGGTAACAGGGTCAACTGGAGTCTAATTTAATACCGTGGCTAATGTCACCAACCATTACAAACAGCGTCTGCCACTGGATTAAAGTCTGTTCACCAGCCATGTGGGCGGCATTCATCACCTGAGCACGCAATGAAGAGAAGTGCGGTGCGTTTTTACGCACACAAGATCCATCCCCTGGTAAAATGACCACGATCAGAAACGTTTTATTCTGTTATATATCATAAAATCCAATTGTTTTCAATGGCATTCCATTTCTTAAGAATATGTCTTGCAACAAATAAGCATAAACACCCTTAAGTCTCAAAACTCTTTCAAATGTCTGGATTAAAGTCTGTTCACAAGCCATGTGAGCGGTGGCTATCATCTCAGCACGCATATAGTGGCGAGGTGCTTTTTTACGCACACAGTCTGCACAAGATCCACCCTCTAATAAAAAAGCCACGATCAAAAAGGCTTTAATCTGTAATACAATATAAAATCCACTTTCAATCAATTACATTACCACCTATCTAAAGATTGTGTCTTGCAGTGATGGAGCATGTCTCCTCAAGAACCTCAATCAGACAGAACATAAACTCTGACGTGAGAAAGAGACGCTTTTATAGTAAGTATTCATTCGATGTGTGAGGACAAAATCCGCATTTTCGGTTTTCTGCACATACCCTAAAACATCTCTAAAAAGTTTCAGAAAGTGGCATACAGCTACAAATGCTGCAGCGTTTATTCTAGTCAAGCTCATTGCGTATAAAAGTGCGTAAAGTAAGGTCCCTTTGCGCCATGAATCCGTTGACAGGTTTTGGACAACTGATATTTTTAGGTTTTAGAAACCTAAAATGAAAAATATTTAACATAATATAAAACATTTTTTAAGTATCCTAATTTTAAAAGTCCTTATTTTTTAACACGCAGGACAACATTTAATGAAATCTAATTCCGCCATAAGAGAGGATATAGTTCCTGAAAAGCTTCCAAGTCCTCCACTTGTTCTCTTACCGTCTATGAAGCACAGGATCCAGAGCAGGGCAATACACGCTGCCAACCAAGTCCACCAATCCATGTAGCCTCCCCGCTGTCCTGGACCCGGCACCGAAAAGAAAGAAAGCAGTGAAACCCTTCAGGTTATGAGGTGTCCAAGCCCTGCCCAGTCTTTACGCAGCTAATACCCAAACATTAAGTAGTTCCATTCGACTCCGCAGGTGTCGCAGCCTCTGAACACCTTCACATCAGGTGTCAACAGGCGCATTGAGACGCGCAGAACCAACTGCACCTGACAGCTCTACAGGCTCCTCAGACATGGAGTCTACAGAGAACACTCTGCCCAGAGATTTCAATCATTTGAAGATTATACATTTTAAATACCAAACTGTCACCGGTTTAAAAAAAACTACTGACTTCTCTTGTCCAGATATTTCCAGTGTGTGAGAAAATTATGTCTGTCACCTGGTGGATAAACAGTCTGTGCCCATGTTTGTCTAGACACCTGTGCCAGAAGAGGTGGACGCAACCTTGAAGCACCTTAAAATAGATTTAAAAGCGACATATATCATTTATTCATCTATTTATTAAATCTCATAATGTATTAAATATTACTGATATTATATATATATATATAAATATATAAATGCATTTATTTAATATATATACACCCGTCAGTTTACATAATTTAGATACATGTGTTATTTTATTTGTTAAACTAAAAGTAAATATATATATATATATATATATGTTTCCTGTTCGAAAGTATGATATGTTACTTCTTTTACATGGACTCTCTCTCTATACTGTTGCCCTTTCACATAGAGAGTGAAACTGTGTTCAATTACTTATCACCAGTCTTTAAATGTCAGAGAGAAGCTGCACACTGTCAGTCTGTGGTGTTTAGAGGAGTAATGCATGGCTGCTCGTTTCCCTGCTCTGTCTCTCCAGTGACATTTCTGAATGTACAATGTCTTACGAAAGATGAATGAAGAAGGTTTGGAGTTGTTGATAGATATGGTTCAGCTGCTGTTTTCCTGACTTAAGTGACAACAGAATTAAATGCTTGGTGCTCAATACAACCAACCAACCACCTGACGACTTACCAACAGAAATCAAAGTATCCTGGTGCTGCCATCTTTCACCTATATAGGAGCCAGAGTCTGCGCAGTAGGAGTCAGGGAATGGAGCCTCAGTATCAAGATCACACACACTTGACCAATTGCAAGTTTTCAAAGCATCAAATGAAAAAAAAAAACAGCAGTTGAACAAATAAGAACGCAATAAAAACCATCTTTGAGAAAATCTGTTCTTTTACTTTTTAGTTTCAGCCAAGTCCCAACTACTAACATGTAGGAGGCAGGGTTTATAACCTCTACTGCAGCCAGCCACCAGGTGGTGATCAATACACTTTTGCATAGCTTTTGGTGAGCAGTCACTTAATCCAGTCTATATAACCAACCAACAACCAAGCATAGAAACCCACGTACAGCACATTGAATTAAGACAGTTATATTATTTCAACAAAACAAAAGGCACAGAAAAGAGTGGTCATCTACATTCATTCATTTCTCTCATGTCTCTCCTTATTCTGGCTGGAGTGAATGTGATATACTAATTCTGTTCAAAGACACAAAATTATACAACTTTTTGTTTTATCTCAGGAAGTAAATGCAGAAGGAGACAAGTGGAGAATCTACCTCAGAGCGATCGTCCTCTCAGTGAGTCTGTGACGCCTCAGGCCAACACAGTTCTACAGGCTTCCCCCAATTATCCCGTCTCTGCACCCAGAAGAACTCTCGCCAGCAGGTACAACATCCAAAGACTTTAATCATTGATAATTCACCATGCTTTCTGTAACGCTGGAGGATGTCAATCAACAGTGTGATACTTTAGAATCACAGCAGTAAGAAGTAAGAGAGAAGGTAAGAGAGAAGTAACTTTGTGCAAATGTCTCTCATGCAGGCTTGATAAGACACCATACCACATCAGTGCCACTTCCACACCGGATGGAAGGTGTGGTTAGACCGGCTGCTCACAAACAACCAGCTGCTGGAGTCCTCGGCTACTTCCAAATTAAATCACGCATCTCTATTCTTTTAACTACTTCATACTTATACCAGGAAATCGAGAATGTGTTGACAAAGTAGTGGAACAGCCACGTATTTTATTCCTGCCATTATTTTAGGATTTAATGGCATACTTCCTTACACCATGAGGTAACCTCTGAAATGATATTCTACAGTAGTGTGCAACATAGAAATGTATGTGTGGCATCTTGAATTTGTAACAGGGCACGTGAACACACATTTTGACGGTTGGTATCCCTTCATTAAAAGTGAAATGGTATTGTATACAAATTTGTATATATATGATACAAAAATATCACATTTCTAAACCCTGTAGGAAAAACGACCTGGTTACAATTTAAGGCATGTCTTAATAAGTTGTCTTCCAACTAACGAACATTCAAGTATTGGCAAATTATACTCATACTAAGAATTCCCTTTACCAGAATAAACGTCACTTCAGTGGCGGGAAAAACAAAAAGATTTTTCAATTGCATTGTTTGCACTGCTACAAACAGGCACTTTTAGTCTCTTTAACTGTAGCTTCATATTGAAAACATCTTCTGATCATCACTTTAAAAAGAGAGTCTGTGCTCGAGGGAGAGTGTTTCTGTAAGTTGTCCTCATTTGCTTGGCTCGTAAAGCTGTAAGTCTAGTTTGACCCAAACTTCTCCAGTAGGGACTTCATGTAGCAGCAGGCGTCGGTTTGCAGCACCTTTGCTCTCCATTTCTTTCTTTATTGTTGCCACGGGAACTTCAGTACGACCCAGGAAATCTGGAGGCAGAAAACGGATTGATTTTAACATTAATTTTATTAAACACATCAACGGCTTCCTTTCAATATTTGAAAGTTAAAAAACCTCTGATAATATATTGGCCGACAATGTAACATTTGGAAGCTGTTACACAATCACAGTCAAGGCAAAAAGGACACAAAAAATAAGACGGTATAATAGGACGACAGCTGAAGCTTTCTAGAAAATCTGTTCAAACAAAGCAAAGCAGTCAGATCCTGGCAAACAACCTGTGACCGTGTCTCCTTCATTCTGTACTGGCAGCACAAATGAAACAAAAACCCTCATATCAATTCTGTGTGTGTGTTTTCTCCACTGACCATCTGGTGAGAACTGGTCTTTCTCGAACACAGTGATACACAGGACGTCCTGGTAGAGGTCTTTGATGAAGAACTGGCAGTTAAAGTTCCACTTAGGGTTCAGAGTGTCGCTGACGGGCCGGGAGGTGTAGCACTGAGCCCCCATGGTCAGCTCACAGTACGGATTACTCTTACCTGCACAGAGAGGATAAGGGTGTTACTTCAACAATACGCACTGTATTCTTGTGTTCCATCATCGGACCTCACCGTTTGGTTTACAGGCCTTGAGCTCTTGAGCTTCGGTGACAGTCACCAGCAGTCGTCCGATACCGCTGGATTTCAGGGAACGTGCTGAAACAAACACAGTCGTTATATATAAATCTACAACACAGCAGGTTTTTGCCTCGTGAATAATGTGTGGGGGGCAGGGGACAAAAAATAGACTTTATGAGTAAGGGGCTGTAGGGAAATGACGCCCCTCACCTCATATTTAGCCTTCATAAACAGGAATCACTTTGAAAACATAATCACACGAATACAAATGGTGGCTTTGGTGTGCGCTGTGGGTCACGAGCATGGACTTTTCTAGTACGCTAATACATGAATCTTTCAAGATACTTGAATAAAATCTGATCTTTTTTTCAAGTTTACTTTATATCATAACATACAATTATGTCTTATCACATTCAAATTAGAAAATTGCTCATTGCACTTCCTTAGAGTTGATGCAATGATGCTATGTTGAAGATTAATCACATGATTTATTGGATATTTAGATTAGATTACACTTTAATTCTTACAATGCCTCTTTTAGTCGTAAAATAATGATATTAGTTGTATTATGTCACAAGGTATTTTTCTTAGGATCCAATGACAACATCAGTCAAGTGGAGTTTTGTTTTTAGAAACTGAAATATAAGATTTGGACTCGTTTGGTGTGATTACTTAAAACATTTTCTGTGTTTACCTTGATAAGCCTTCTCTCTCTTTTTCTTCTCAGTTTCAATGAAATGTTCAGATGCTGCTTTGATTTTCTGGACCCATGTCGCCCTGTGAAAAAAAATGTCAGTAAACCTGTGAATATTTCAGACGGAATAATGAGAACAATTAGGTCTTTGTTGAGATTTGTGCAGATGTTTTATGTCCACGTGTACCTCTCGTTCAAGGTCTCAGTTTTGAGTGTGTGGACACGATCGATGTGTGAGACATGGAAGAGTGGTTCATCGCTGGACGGGTCGGGGGGGGTTTTCACCAAAACCTCATTCAGAAATAGTGGCTGGAGAAGAAAACAAACAGATGATGATTGCACACAAATTATAGAACATTTCAATTTGCTGCAAGCAGAGGTTTCCTTAAAATAATCCAAAAAATAAGTACTGCTTAAACACCATGTGGTTTTACATATTATATTCCTTTGTGTAAGAAAATTCACATCATATTCCCCTTGTGTAAGAATAGCGCCTCGCCTCTCACTTACTGTTTTGTACATCTTCAGCTGTATGTTGGTCTTGGGGCTGAATAGCTTGTCTGATCCCGAGGAAGAGAAAGGTTTGGCGCTGTGTGTGAGGAGGAGGAAATCACTGAAGAGGAAAGTCCACAGCTCCCTGCTGCTTTTGGTTTTGTACAAGCGGCCGCTGTGGAGCAGCTTGCGAGGCCCGAGGCAGTTCGTCAGCGAGTTGAACACCAAGTGCTGAAAGAGACGGCGACAGTAAAGTGAGAGGAGAGATGGAGGAAAGGAAAGAGCTACCGTAAAAGTAGCTCAGTGAATTATGATCCTTGGCTTTGCTACTGTATGTGTGCATTAGTTTCAGTGACAAAAAACAAGAATTCTGATGTAAATCAGACATTTTAGTGCAAAAAAAGTGTGTGTTGAGTTGTGGAGGCTGCAACTTTTCTATACAGCAACGATAACATAACCTGCAAATCCCATGGTTAATGCTGCACGTTTCATCTCTCTATGTTTACCTCTATAGGACCCTCACACTGGACGTGGCTCTGTATCCACTCCAGCCTGTCCGAGTTCTCCTTCTCCCTGACGCCCTCGTTGACCTGAGAGCACAGCTCCTCGGCTCGCTCCAGAGCTTGTCTCAGGGGCCCGCGGTCCACGTGGTCCTCTGGGGTGTGCTCCAGGATCTGACAAACAGGAAATGGCCGAAAGATGTGGAAACAAACAATGAGTATCAGAGAAAAAAGTGTTGGGTGTGGTTTATTGTAAATAGACACATAAAGAGCATGTGGCACATACATTCTTGATGATCAGGGGATAGCGTGTGATCCTCTGCATGGGCTTGAGGAGGAAGCTTGACAGTGGCATTCCTTTGCAGCGGTAGTTAGTGGCGATCTTCTGCTCAGGATGAGGCAAACAGTCAGAGAGATAAAGATTTACACAGAACCGTGTGTGCCCTCTGTGTATGTCACTTTTTTAATATGTCAGTTCCACACGAGGCACAACTTATTACCTTGAGAAAGTTTTTAAAGTCAGGCTGGTTGTGGGTTTTGCTCTGCAGCAGGGCGGCGGCGTTGAGCTGGCAGGAGCAGAAGCGGATGTAGGGCTGCATGTGGGCGAGCTCCGACGCCAGCAGGTCTCCTATGAGCTCAACCGGCATGTTCTCTCCTCCTGTCATTTTCCTGACCCGCAGGGCCCTGCGACACAAATAATGATGATGATGATGATGTTACACACATGTTACATCTTCACCATTTGTATGGAGCCAGATGTAAAAAGTCAACCTAACGGAATAACTCAAGCCCACAGAGACGACAGGCTTGTGGAAATGGACCAAATCTCAAGTGTCAAGTCTTGTTGCTCTGATTTTCAGCTCAGTGAGACAGTTGTGTGTGTTTTGCTGCTGTCAGACATGCACTGAATTTGTGTGTGTGGTACCTACTTCAGCAATTTGGTGTTACACATAATCAGCTCCCTCCAGTTAACAAATATCATAGCCATCTCAGCTTCTGTTAGTCGGCCTGAGTCAGACATGGGCTTGTAGAAAACCTGAGATACATCAACAGGCATAAACAGGAAGGGACAGAAACAACATGAGTCCAGAGAAATTCTTATAATGTCTAAATATTCCTAAACCTTTGAGCGTGCAAGTCAGTACCTCTAGTACCAGCTCTAGGTCCTCCACATAAGTCTCCTCCGTCTGGATGAGCTCGTGGACGTAGCCCTGTCTTTTCCTCTCCTGAGGGGTCATGGTGTCCAGCGTCATCAGGTCCGCACACCCTGTAGTGCACACGCACACACATGCCCATGCAAACAGACACACATGCAGACATGCATGCATGCACAAACCAGCAGCATGTGCCACGCAAACACACGCACAAACGCTTTGCCGTCAATTGCTGACATGGAGACAACACAGTAAACACTACATGCATCCACATGTTAAAATCTCCTTTTATTATCAGTTTTATGGTATTTTATTTACATTTAATGCACAGACAAGAGTGAGGCACGTTGTAGTCGCAGTACATGAACTTAAAGGAACATACCGGGCAATGCTAACACTGACAACACTAACAATGACTCCAATCACAGATAAATTAAGCTCCTCTCACTCCAAATGATTGCATAGGTGTGAATGAATAAAGCAGCTAATGCTTGGGTGGAAGAGCAGTGGAAGACTCAGTTAGTAGTTCAAGTCTTTGAGGTTCAAACTTGGCAAATAGTTGTAACAATGTAAGACAAACATGTCAGCAGTGTGGAGTCATTATCTCTAAACCTATGCGTAACAGTAGGTATGTGCAACAGAGATTGAGGGCCATGTTGACCTTCTTCTTTTTTGGGAGGATTTTGAGAATAAAGTCAGAAGATCAAGATCATAAAGTCACATTATTACGAGAATAAAGATGGAATGCTACAGAAATTAAGTTGTAATTTAATGAAAAATCACACAAGTCACAATATTACGGGAATAAATTCATAATTAAATAAGAAAAAATGATTTAGGAAAGAAATAGCAAGGAGAACCCATGCTCGCTGGAGTTCTGACGGGCTGATCTTCTGATGTTGCTAAAAATTACCAATTTATTTTGGTGATATTACGACTTAATAATATTGTGACTCAATAGACCCTTTTCACTGCAAACAATTTTGACATGAAATAGTTGGTAAATAAGTGTTACATATCACAATAATTAAGATCAATGTGATTAGTAATACCTGTGTTTACCGACTATTTCATGTTTAAATGGCTGCCGTAAAAAAGGTATATTCTCTTAATATTATGACTTTATTCCATCAATATGTCCCTAATACTCCGTTGTAATTATGCAAATATCTGTGCATGTTTTTTGCTGGTGATATCACAGTTCCATACAGGATGAGTCTCAGTTTTAAATACTTGGAAGCATTAATCATAAATCGAGTAAATCGTGTATGAGAAGCGACAGTAACACAATCAGTTTTTCATTCAAGCAATGTGTTAGCATGTAGCAATCAAGGTTACTGGTGATTTAAGCAACAGTGAGTCTTCACATTGGTCCATTTAGAGCAAGGTTTCAATGTTGTTAGTGCAAGACTGAGCGACCCTGTTATAAAACTCTTTATCGTACTGATTCATAACCTTAATTTAGAAAACTAAACGACTTCAGTCTGATTCCATTTATATAGGTATTAAATCATAATCTGTAATCAAAGTTCTAGAATCCATATTTCCATCTTCTTCAGGAAAACTACACGTTCTATTCTTTTCATATCAGAGGGACAAAAGCTTTTCTAACTCGTGTCTAGCTGCCTCTGCCTCGCTCCCTTAGTTAGTTAATTGGTTAATTAAAGAAGCATCAATGGAAACACAGGCGAGGAGAGAGCGAGGGGGATCGGGGTGAGAAATTAATGCTTATTAATAGAGAAACGACAGAGGGGGAAATTTAAAGAAAAGAAAATATATAAGGTATCAAAAGCAGAGGAGAGCAGAAGATCACAGTCCTAAAGGAGTAAGGATGGAAAGCGGAGAGCTGGGCTGTTCTTGCCGTTGGCTGGGCCTCCTGTTGCGACAGGGCAATTCGGATTGGCTCAGACGGAAGGGGGGAGGAAGAGGAGTGGGAAGGAGAGGAAAAGGAGGAGAAGACGAGAGGAAAGCCGGCATTACTGTCCTACAGAGGAAAGAAAAAAACAAAACAGATGAAGTGGAGAAGCGGGAGGGGGGAGGTGAGTGAGATGAAGGAGAGACAGCAGACATTAATATAGTTTTAATATTAATGCCACACTCTTACATGCAGGTGCATTAATAATGCATTTTCTGGGAATGCAAATGTTACTGCGAGCCACGTCAGCCGGAGCGGTGAGGGTCTTTTCTTCCGCTGTGTCTCTGTAGACCTTAGTGTGTATGAGTCAGGACGTGTTCATTAGCTTTCATTAGGGCTCCACATCTGTGGCTCAGACAAATTCACGGTAATTAAACGTCCAGTGTGTTCACGCTTGTTAACAGAGACACGCTGCTGTAAGAACACGTAAGCTACGAACATGATTTCACACGTCCTGCTGCAAAATGGGCTCTTTTAATTTGAAATTCCGGAGCAGTGAGCAGCGGATTTATACTCGAGCGGCATCACACCCATCCCAACAATGTAGTGATCGCACATCACAGAGAAAATGAAACTTTAATCTAAAAAACACGATCAGGGAGGAGAGACGTTTCATTTTACCAGTTTAATGTGAAGCTTATCAATGTTTGTTCCATTTTCTTCACCCAGTGATTAGTTGGAAACACCTATTTAAAGGAATAGTTTGTCATTTTGAGAAACACTTTCAATTTCTCGCTGAGAGTCAGAAGAGACGATCGATCTATTTGTATGACTTTGGTTGTTAAATAAGCTGCTAAGGAGGAACCTCGATGGCGGCTAGCCTGGCATCAAGTCTGGAAACAAGGTAAAACAGCATTTTCAGATATAGAAGATATAATGTATGATGAAGCAAGCTTTACTGTACTTTACACTATTGAATAAAGCCAGGCTGCTTTCCTCTCACACTGATTTGTTAAATATGCAGCTAGCAGGCACTTCTATAGCTGCTAACCTAGCATAAAGCCTGGGAAAATAGGAAAACAGCTAGCCTTGTTAGCTAGCCTTGTGATACGTGGTTTATTTTTGTAAAGTTTAGTTAATGTACTTTATTTTACTTTTTACCTTTGAAAAACCTATCATATTCTTCATATTAGTTTGTTAAATATGCAGCTAGCAGGCGCTCATATGGTGGCTAATTTAGTACAAAAGCTAAAAGAGCTAGTCTTGTTACCATGCCTTGTTACTTTTGGTAACAAAGAAAAATACATAATGTATGATTTACTGTACTCTATTTTAAGTTATAACTTTGAACAGAGCCAGGCTAGTGTTTCCCCCCTGCTTCCACTCTTAATGCTAAGCTAAGCTAATTGCCAGCTAGATGTATTTAGCCTCGTTAGCTTCATATTTAAGACACAGTCTTCATATCTAACTCTCTGCGGTTCCCAAAATCAAAACAAGAAGCCAAACTATTCCTTGAAATTATTTTTTTGTTATTGTGCAGTTGATTCATGGAAACTTAAAAGGCCTGATCCATTAATGGAGGACATTAAACATTTATTCAACTTTATTGTTCATTTAACAAGATGTGAGATTGAAGTATCACACAAACAAAATGTAGGGGATTGAGCCTTTTAAGTGTGATGGGTTTATGTTCACCAGTGACGCCACAGTGACTGACAGACACCACAACTCTTTACAAAACTTACCCTCACTCCCTCCATGCTCTGACATGGATGAGGAATCTAGCGAACCTGGAGTGAGCCAAGTCAAACCAATGAGATTTTACAGCAGCAAGAGAGAAGTTTGTTTATGTGGCTGATAAATGTGTTTCAACAGCCTCCCACAGTCTTATTCCTTCCCACCCAACAGCACTCCCCAGTGATTCAAACCTAATGTGTGAATTATTGATTTTCTCTCAAATGTTATGACGGAAAAATATTGTCCGCCTGAGAATAAATTGTTAATGAAGATTAAAAAAAACCCTGTCAGGTTTACTCACATTGCTGACTGGGGTCCGATTCTGTCGTCATCTTGACATAATTGGTGGGCAACAGGCCTGTGACCCCGTTGGCTTCTGCCTTCCACCAATCAGGGTTGGTCTTGTCCAGGATGCTGATCAGCTGACCCTTGGAGAAGCTCAGCTCGTCCCGACTGGCGGCGGTGTAGTCGTACATCGCAATGACTTGGCACACTGAGGGATCAGCAGCACAGAAGGTGTGTTATTAAAGAAACTTTATTTTCAGAATCAGCTTTTTATAGGGGCAACAGGGTTCTACAGGAATATGCAAAATCTTGAGTATTTCTGCTTTTTTCACTGGTTTGAAGTAGGTGGAGCTTTAATGGAAAAATGTGATGTCATGTGCATCCTTAAACCAATCAGATAACTGTTCACACTTTTATCAATTTCAATTTTGAGCTTTTGATCTCTTAACGAATCAGAGATAAAGATTTAACTTTGATTTTATATAGTTTGTGTTTAGTCGAGAACATTTGATGATATGAATAAATGCTTTTGATTTGAAACTCCATTTTCACGAGCTTTAAGAAGTGAGTGTTGATCAACAGGACATTTCAGTGTAGTCAGGACTTTATTCTCCTCAATTTGTAGAATCTTTTTACAGATTATAATGGAAAAAATAATGCTACAGTAATTGGATATTTGCAAAGCTACAAACTATGCACTGCACCCAGCAATTCTGTATAACTTTGAAGGCTGCTAAAAGTTCACTCATTCCAAAGGTTAATCACTTACATGAACATGGAATAACAGTGATTTAGTGGCATTCGCACCACACTAATTTCATGCATGAATTCATGAGACACAGAATTGGAAACACAGTTATTAACAGGATTGCCAGGTCAATCGTAGCCCTGTCTTATTACAACCGCCAGGGAAGGTTATGTATTCGCTCTTTCCTTTCATTTATTAGTTGGTTGGTTTGCAAGAACTGCAGAACGGATTTCCATGAAAGGGAATGGGCCAAGAAAGAACCCTATACATTTTTGCACACTCGGACAAAAGGGTGGATCCAGGAATTTATTTTGACGGTCTTAAATATTGCGACATTTGCATTTTTTCAACATTTTCACTAATGTCTCACAGAATTCATGGATCTTGATGAAAATTAAAATCAGGCACATTAAGAGGACTGATATCTATGAGTGTGTGGATAATGTTGGACCTTGGTGGATATGTGCTGGACAGAGTTCCATATCAGTTATTAACACACGTACCTAAAATCATTATGCATTGTGGTCATGAATTAAAATAAAACAGCAATCCAAGTAAACAAATATGGAAACATGCATCGTACTAAATCATCATGAATAGAACGTCATGTTCAGAGAGTGTCAGCCTTCACCTGGCAGAGGGGAGGGGGAGGGCTTGGTGCTGGTGGGACCCAGGAGCTTGACATGAGAGGAATGAAACCAGCCTCTCTGTCGCTTCTTACCCCGAGCCTGGAGGGGAAAAAAGCTGGTGAGAGGAAATCGATCTCCTGCCGCTTCACTTCTGAATTCTAACTCGAGACATGAATTGATTTTGTTGGGTGTGGTGCTGAAACTCCAAAATCTAAGCAGTGCAAGTAATTCAAGCTGAACTGTTAAACTGCGACGGATCTTTGGGGGAAATATATGTTCATAGCTTTCGTAAATCCAGCCAAAGGTTAGCCTCAAGTCTCTGTAATGACCAAAAGATACTGCTCAATGTCTTATCCTGCCTCCACCAAGCAATTTAGCCAAACATATTCGCTGCTGAGGTCATTGCACAGTTTGACAAAGCTGTGATCTCACTGAATAACAGTATTTATGTCTGTTCACCTCTTGCTGCTAACTTGACCCAACTGTCTCATTACTGTACACTCAGAAAGAGCTGTATAACCAGAGCCAAGGCTGCAGGCTCAGCACTGAACACTCACTGCTGTAGATGTGGAGACAAGCCTGAGATTAAATTCCTGCATAGGTTAATGGTCAAATTAACTTCACTGACTTCCCTATACTTCATTTCTACCACAAGGACACATGGTTTCTAATCTGAATTTTAGGTCTTATATGGTTGTTAAAAATGTATATATTAGGTGTTTCATTACATTTTGGTAGGTCTTAATAATGTTAACACTACTTCTATCATGGTTTCAAATGAATGTTATCTTTTAAAAGACAATTTTGGTGCAGTGTGTAGTTCATAATGTCTCTGTCTGTAAGTAGTATTTCCTCAACAATACAGACATCAGCAAGCTGTAACAAAACTACAAGCAAGACCAACATGGGCCTGGTATCTGATCGTGTCGCTTGGCTTGGCTGTGGGAAAGATTATGGACACCCACTGTCACTGCCTGTGGATTGAGAGATAACGTGGCATTCTCAATGTTTATTCTCTATTGGGCTACTTTACCTTATCTTCAATTATGGGGGGGTTTAAGTAACGATAATCCATCATCTCTGTCATACTTGACATAGGTCTTTAATTTATTATGGTATCAAAGTCCTAAATTTTACTTGTTGAAACCTGAAGAATCCCTGGAACATTACACAGAAACAGGTGAACAACCAACTAGGGCTCCACTTAGCCATTATATTCTATTATCAATAAATCCAGAGATTATTTTCTGTCTAAACATTTATTTGACTTTAATGATTGTGTCCAAATTAATTTTTCTGCCTGAGAAGTGATCAATTAATCAATTATGTGTTTCAACACATTTTAACATAGTTTTAAACATGCATTACATAATTTTTCTCAAATAATTCAGGATGTTACATTCACATGTTCTCAGTTTCCTCCACACAGAGAGAAAGATCCTAAAATGTGGGCATCAGATTTAAGAGAGCTACTGTCTGACAGTTAAATAAATGGATATTGCAGCAAAAGCCTGATCATTGCAATGATAAAGTTACAGCAGCTAACATTATTCTTGCCTTTTAAATCATCTTAATTATTATAGAGCCCCACAAAGGCTCCAGTGACTTACTTGCAGTTCCCCAAGCCACCAGCCGGTGGAGTTCTTTGCCAGAACCACGATCAGTTGCCCTGGAGACAGATGCAGCTGATGTATCATGGGGGTGACGGTGCCGGTGACCGCCTGGGCAATCTCTGTCAACCGAGCAGACAGAGTCGATGATGAATATAGATAAAGTAAACATCAACTGAATTAGTTAACAGTTAACCAGTGTTAAGTGTGACGCACTGTGCTTGTACTCACCAGGTTTCTTGGCCGTAGCTCCAGGTCTTGACAGCTAAATTAGTACAGTGGTGAAGTACATCGTTTGTTTGTTTAAAAAAAAAAAAAAATCCAAAAGTTATAAAGGTCAGCTAGCTGACAAATATTTGCACATCTTTTTAATATATGATAATCAAACAGATCCATACGCAATCATTATTTATTCTATTATTATCATTAGAAAACATAAACATAAAGATGACTCACATCTGGCTCAACAGGTCGGACGTAGTTGGAGGGAAACACCCCAGTCTGGTCCCCGATGCATCCTCGCCACCACTCTCCTTCCCTCTCTGTCACCATGACAACATCCCCCTCAACAAACGTTAGGTCCCCCATCTCTGGGCTCTCATACGTGTACAAAGCCACGTACTCTATGTGGGATTAAAAACGAGAAAAGCCAAACGTCACTGATGTGTTTTTAATTAAATTACTGATTATTGATTTTTTTTACTGATTAAATATACTTACCTTCCAGATGAACAGAGTCGGATGTGTCAAATGCATCCACACTACAAAGGGTACCACACAGTCAGTAATGATATTCATCTAATGGTTGACATACATTTTACAAAGATATGTGTGTGTCTGCAGGTGTGTGTGTTCATACTCCGTAATGCCACCCATCTCCAGAGTGACATAGCTATTTGGGAACCATCCCTGCGTCCCATTCAGCTGTCCCAACCACCACTGGTCCCTCTGCTGCAGCACGCTGATGACGTCGCCCTGTGAGAAGCTCAGCAGCGCAGTGATGGCTTCGCCGGCGAAGAGGCTAAGGTGAGTTTCTGAGGTGGCCGACCACGACGAGACAGCACGAGCCAGCAGAGAGATAGAGGACTGACGAGGGAGGGGAGTTACAACTGAACAGTTAATTTATACAATTCAGATATACATTAATTCTACATATACACATACAAGTACAAGGGATATTCACCATCTAGTCCTATATTCTATATTTTAAGCATGGCTGTAACTTGATCTGACTCTTACAGACCATGGGCATAACCTACAAATGCCAGACCTACAAACACTGATGATTATCTATGGGGAGAGAGAGATCTGTAAATGTCTGTGTGACCTGCTGACAGACACATAAACTCCCAACAGAGAACGGCTATAAATATACAGCCATGCAAGAGTATTAGCAGCAGTGTGTGTGTGTAACCCAGCTAGAACTAGTTCTTTGGCTGCCAAAGACAGTTCATAGCCCAGATATACTACGAAGGCATCACTACACCAACAGGAAACCCAGCTATGGTCAGGAATACATCTCACAAAATAGCTGAGGCCAATTTTTAGACCAAGAGGTAGGTAAATTAAATGCTCAATAATGTTTTAACCACGCTAGCTTTATATATATATATGAAATTTTGTTAAAACATTCATGTGCCCCTCAGGATATTCACAAATAACCTTTGTGAGATCTTAACTTAAAGCAACATCACCTTTAAACATTAGCTCAAGTCTACTGTGCCTCCTTCAACATAATATCTGATCACAGAGTAAAGACAGAAACCCAGAAAGCCCCAAAATGATTCCTGTGTTGATCCTGAATAAAAATCACCTCCTCCTCCAGACAATTAAAGCTAATCTCTTAAGTGACACAGCAACAGGATAATGTTCTCGATTTTTAGAGAACTAATTCAGACGCAATGTACATTTTCCTTCTTACCTGTGAAGCATCTGATTGGACAGGAGCAGTGTTATCGCCTGTTGCCTCCACATCGGGGATTCTGGGTAAAACAGAGGGAAAACTAATATTAGAGAAGAGAAGAATAAAAATATATAAGTAGCATGACATAAATCACAATGTCCACAGTGATGTTATAGTGTTATAGTAGCCGACAGAGAAAAAGAAAAAGAAAAGGTGTATGTTACCTTTTGTTAAGTGGTAGCGGTGGACAGGACCTTTTTCCAGGAGAAGATGGCACCGTCTCAGTGGCAGAGGCCGTGGGACATTTCTCTGCATAACTCTGGGGGAACCAGCCCCTGTTTCCTCGGTAACTCCCGCATAACCATCCCGGCTCACCGACAGTCTGCTCATCCACCTGCATCATGGAAAATACAATCACACTCTTACTGATGACGGTCAACATGTTGTCTCTCTACTGCAGTGGCCGGGAGAAATCCCTTTTATACAGCAGTAACAAGTTATGAATTTAGATGGCACCGACACTGTGTGTGTGTGTGTGTGTGTGTGTGTGTGTGTGTGTGTGTGTGTGTGTGTGTGCGTATCTCATACCTCTATGAGACCGTCTGCTTCTATGCTCAGCTCGTCAGTGTTGCGGGCAACAAACGAGTACAGGGCTCTGTACGTGGTCGGCTTGATTGTTTGCTGATCCACAGATGTTGACTGCTGTCCTCTCTGCTCTTCCTCTTTTCTCCTCCTCTCTTCCTCCTCTTTTCGCTTTCTCTCTTCTTCCTCCTCTATTTTCCTCTTCTCCTCCTCCTTTATCCTCTTTTCCTCCTCCTCCCGCCTTCTCCTTTCCTCCTCCTGTGCTTTCTCCTGGGCTGCTCGCAGGCGAATCTGCGCCTCCCTCTCCTCCTCCTCCCTTTGCCTGGCCCTCTGCTCCTCCAAGAGTCTCCTCTGCCGGGCCTCCTCCTCTTCCTTCTCCCGCCTCTCCTTCTCCCTCTTTTCCTGTTCTCTCCTCTCCTGCTCTCTCTGCTCCTCCTCTAATTTTGCCTGTCTGTGGGAAGTGAATTCAAATTATTATTTAAAACTTTCATAGGCACACAAGAAGTTCACTGCAACAATCCGCAGACTGTGATCTGCCTGAATGCATCATACACAGGTAAACACACAGTATGTCACAATCACACTTACCTGGCCGCCTCCTCTTCCTCCCGCCTCCTCCTCTCTCTCTCCTCCTCCCTACGTCTTTGCAGCTCCCTGAGCTTCTCCTCTTTGACCCGATACAGGTCGTCCAGGACGGCCTGCTGCCTCACCTGCTTCTCTCTCAGCTCCTGAAGCAGCCAAGACAGATCAAATGCATCAGAGAGAAATAAAGACACAAGCGTCAACTAGCAGAACAATCACTGTATGGCAGCTTTAATTCTGCTCACAAAGCAGCTAACTGAAGATGATGCACAGTACTGGATATGGTATTTTTACTCAAACTACAGAAAGTACTGGTGTAGCTGTGGAGTTGCAACACTTTGTGGTGGTTTGATGCAATAATACAAATACATTCCACACATGCAAAACTGATGTTAAAATGGAGGCAGCAATTTACAGGAACATGCATATAGATGTACATATTAAGCTGAGATAATTTCTTTTCTATTTTATAACAGTGTTCGTGTGTGTTTTACCCTCAGATTGCATCCTGTTTACAAAGAAGAACAAATCCCACGCAGGAAACGACAATGAAAAAAGATGTGGGACAAGAAGCAGATGTCTGTTTCATACTGAGTCAGAAAAGCAAGGATGAAGTGAACAGATCAAACCACCACAGGATGAAGGGGAAAGATTGGAAGATTGCAGCCAAAGAGAAAACAAGAGGTGAGGTGGGAAAAAGGAAAACAGGGATGGGTGGAGAAGATGATTACACAGTGGGAGGTGGAGAGAGAGAGAGAAAGAGAGAGAGAGAGAGAGAGAGAGAGAGAGAGCGGCAGAAGAGGGATAACCTTGATGAGAAGGAAGAGCTGGTTGAGGCAGGCCAGCAGAGACAGAAGGCCCCGCAGGACACAGTCATCCATATCCCCAAGCTAAGAAAGAAGCACACGGCGTGATGGTGCAGGGAGGGAAACGGGGCGTATGAGTACATGAGCAGAGAAGAGAAGATTGAAAAATAATAAGAATCCAGAGAAAGGGAGGCAGAGGAAAAGGAGAGAAGGAAAGGGGTTAAAAGATTTAAAAGGCAGTTATGAAATTAGAACAAATAGAGAGAGCAAACAAGAAAGAGAGGATTTATTGATGCAGCAATTATTAGTTTCAGATTGGTGATAGATTGTGAAGAGGGTGTGACATCATTCTACACAGGTGTTAAATCATAAGGATCTGTGTTTGTTTGTGTGTGTGTGTGTGTGTGTGTGTGTGTGTGTGTGTGTGTGGTGTGTGCTTTATTGTTTAGGTAACAATGTTTTCTTTGCCTGAGGGGTGAAACTTTAGATTTACTGTGACCATTAGAACGAGATTTCATGGCAGCACTTTAAAACTCTCTGTTTTTTTTTTTTTCAATAAAGCCTGCATGGAAGCAAAGAGAAATAAAAAAAAAACTATTGAAGCCTCCGTCTATTTCCGTACAATTTTATACCATCACTGTGTGTACTAAAAACCGTGAATACTTTTTTTATCATACATACATTTTTAAATAAATAAAAATAAATACAAAATATTTTTTGCTGAATATTTTTTAATAGATGCTGAACATTTATATTTAAAATATTTTCTTTAAATTGAAGGCAGCAATCTGTTTCCATTGCTACCTCCAAAAACCAGCAGAACAGATTTCCATCAAACTTGGGATGGGACATTGGCCAAGAAAGCGAGGGAAAAGATTTTGGGCTCAGAAGCCTTCTGGTTTCTCCTGTTTGACCAATCACGTTTGAGCAGACTTTGGTTGCGCACATGTAGACAGTCTTGACCCAGCTACTCACTGTTTACACCACAAACCCCCAAATATTGGCCGTTGACCCCAGAAGTTAATTCGGCGTCACATAATAGCGGATGGGTTCCGAGACTGGGTATATGTTTGTGTGTTCGCACATCCATTCTTGATTTTCTGCCTCACATCAAGTGACTAATATAATAAATACAAACTTAATCAAACCTCCAATGTATTCCTCAAAGATTCATGGGGGATGTCACAGAAACTACATTCAAGTAACTCTACAATCTGTGTCTCTGAGGTAGTGTGATCTGGCTCGTCCCAGAATCCTTTGAATTATGTTAAATTCAAGTGGTCTGAACATTTTTGAGACATGCTACAGTAATCATCATCATTCTCTATATCCTGTATTGATCTATGTATATCGCTGACCTTAAGTTCTTTGTTGTACTGCTCCATCTGGGACAGTTTGTCTGTCGTCTCCCTCTCCAGAGTGTCCAGCTGGTCCTTCAGCCTCCGGCAGTTCACGCCTTTCTCTGTCACGCTTGTGGCCAGAGAGGTCAAAGACACAGCTACAAGCCAAAGGACACAGGTCAGAGATAACTGAGAATTCAGTGAACAGTATAATACCATGTATTGAGCGAGCGCACATTTGTTACCCACATGAGACTTTGTTCAGGTTGATGTTTCGCAGCTTCTCAGTCAGCCTCTGTTGTTCTGGGACGAGCTGCGACAGCTTCCTCTGCCAGTCCTGTGGCCCCATACAAATAAAAAATCTCAATTTAATCATACAAGGAATCATTTTATTGCACAAGTTTGACAGAAATGAATCGAAAGCGTTTAGTTTAACCTCAAACTGTAGCTGCAGCGTGTTGATCTCTGTGATGCGTTCATCCCTCTTCTGATTGATGAGGTCCACCTCTGCCTTCTGAATCCGCCTCTTGCTCTGAGCGTCACGGAGACGGTCTGAGATCAGCTTGTGCTTGTTTCCCTGGAGACCAGATGATACCACTAGGTTCTCATACCGTAATGAAGGAAGGTTGTTCCTAAGTGTGCACGTGTGTGTGTGAATATTGTCTCACCACAGCCTCCAGCTCCAGCTCTAGACTTCTCTTTTTCGCCCTGAGTTGCGAGATTTCTTCCTGCTCGCCCTCTTTTCTCCGGCCCAGCTCCTCCCTCTTCCCTCGCTCCCACTCCTCCCTTTGCTGGCGCTCCATCTCCTGCTTTGCCGCCTTAAAGTGTAAAGAAACATAGTCACCATATATGACAATCTAGCCACTAAGTATCTTCCGTGAGGCTTACTCTATTACTCACCTCCTTCCTCTCCAGCTCCCTCAGCCTCTCCTCCTCCCTCTGTCTCTCCATCTCTCTCTGCCTCTCCAACCGCCTCTCCTCCTCCAGCCGCCTCCGGTTCTCCTGCTCCCTGGCCTCCCTCTCCCTCCTCTCCCTTTCCTCCCTCTCCTCCCTGTCCCTCCGCTCCCTCTCTTTCCTCTGCTCCTCCACCAGAGCCAGTCTTCTTTTCTCCAGCTCGGCGCTGCCTCGTGCAAAGTTCTCCTTCAGCTTGTCCTCAAAGGACACTAAGAAGTGAAGGAAGAGAGAGGTATAACACAGGGCGCGATGACAAACTCAAATATGTACCAAGCGAGCAGAGCATGCCATACCACCGCTCTTGGTTTTCTGTGCAGCGTCCATTTCTGTCGTGTCTATTAAACAGGGAGTTATGTAGGGCCCCGTTCCATTAACAAGCTCAGTGGGCTTGACTCCTCTGGAACAAGAAAAAAGGAAAATATGTGGTTGTGTATGATAAAACCAGTAAAAGTGTCTGTGTGTGTYTGTGAGAGTGTGTGTGTGTGTGAGAGAGAGTGTGAGTGTGTTACCTGAGAGTAGGAGGTACCAAGTCTTGTGGAAGTGTGAGTGGCAGAGGTCGGCCTGTTTTAGCCATGTCCACCAGGTGCATGGCCAGAATGAACTCATCGGCTCTTAGCTGGCCGTCCTTATCCACGTCTGCCAGGGTCCTACACATACATCACAAAAAGAGTCACATAGTAAACAATTCAACTGACATCTGTATGTTTTTAATGTAAAATACAATGATTCTATAGAAGCATCATCATCAACAACTTTTTTTGAATCACAAAACGACCATTCGATCCCATGTTAGACTTCCCTCTTCATTGTTTAATTTCATCATTCTAGAAAATAACTAAACAAGTTATCCAGATGGTACTTGAGAGTATTAGGGCCACTTAAAGGGGAAAAATTGGAGATTCCGAGAATAGAGTCATAATGTTAAGTTGTAATTTGAGTAAATTAGAGTAATTTTAATTCTGTGTCATTTAACTAAGGGAATATCAGACGATCAGTCTGTTGCCAGTGTTAAAAAAAGATATGTGGAGCATCTTGTAAATGTATACTTTAGTATAACTTTAGAAATAACTATTTGGCTCATCAGCACCACATCATCAAAAGTTTATTGATCATTTAGAAACTATTTATTCTGAAGAAAGAACCACACAGATGTAGAGGAAATTGTGGAGGAGGAAACATTTATATTTTTATTCCTATTATAACCTTCTCCTCATTAAATTATGACTCTATTCTCATAATCATTTTTTTCTCTTCAATATGGCCCTAGCACTCAGTTCCAAGATGTATCATGTATTTGTGTAAATGAGCTGTAGCCTGTGGATGATATCATTAAAGGTTCACATCGGCATCTTTATGAGCTGGATTATAAATATAACACCTTATACTCACCAGATGGTAGCTAACTGAGTCTGGGTCAGGTTTGATGCCATCAGTGCATTTCTAACCTGTGGCCCTGAAAAGTAAAAATAACATTTAAAACAAAAGCAAAGTGAACTTCTCACACAAACTGATGTGTTTGTGTTTCTGCCTGCTAAGTGTTGCGTTAAGAGCAAACACAAGAGCATGTGAGAGTGTATGAAGTGAGACTGGCTCAGAGTTTGTTCAGTCAAACCTAAACAAAACCACCCAGGAGCAGCCAAGCAGCCATGAGTGTGTGTGTGTGTGTGTGTGTGTGAGATGCACCTGACAAGTAGCCACTCATGAGCTGGTCTAGCGTGTTGAATTGCTGACGGTACTTCAGTCTGGACGCCTGTGGAACGGCCCAGTCGCTCGTACCCATCTTCGGAGAGTTGCTGGCCAGCGACGTGGTGGAGGACGAATTTGAACTAAGAACAAAGAAAAGAACTTGTCAAAATGCCAGAATATCACCTAAAAGGAAACGTCCCTATAACATCATGAGGTCATCAGTGCCTTTCTCAAGCCTCGACTCAAAACCACTAATTGCTCCGAGACTCCCCGGTGTTATTTCTCGTCTCTTAATTAGCTGTAGAGGACGGCAGTGCAAACAACCACACGACTCTCTGCAAGAAGACAGCACTGTACTCTCAGGCAATGGTAATCAACCATTCTGTTTTTATTATAAACAATGCCTCTGCAAAGAATAGCAGGAGAACAGAGTAGGTCAATGGTGTTTCTCTTGAGAAGTATGTGTCTCAAGTATGTGTCTTTACGGCTGGGTGGGAACTTGTAAAACTCCTGTGAAATAAAAGAAGCGGTTTCATGGAGACAATGGGAGAGAAAGGGGGATCCTCCCTCTGCTCAAGGGCTTTTTTCCATGTGGGTGTTTGTATATTTGTCTGCATGAGTTTGGGTGCACATATAGAGACTAACACAGCTGAACTTCCTCATTATAAAACTTGTTATTTGTCTGAAAAATAGACAACAACATTATATCGGAGAGTTCTATGGTTAGAAGTCGAAGGTTAAAGTGATCTTGGAGCTGCGGATCAACCTGTATTTACTTTCTGACACTCTACTCTTGAGGCCTGCACCACCTACACCTGAGGTCAGGACTTTTTGTATGAACCACTGGGCCATTCACAACAATGAAACCAGACACTACTCTTACCATTTTCCCAAACCACACAAAACACCATGAGAAGCATTGAGGATATTAGATACTACTATTTTGTGTATTTTTTGAGATGGTGAAACTGCACCTCTCCTCTCCTTTGTTTACTTCTCACAACGTTCCACCACTGTGTAACAATTTCAGGGAGCGATGAATTGCAAACAGAAAGGAAAAGCTGACTAGCAAAGATGAATAATCTCATATGTCTTTTTCCTTTAAAGATTTGAGCTAAAGTTCACTGTCAGCTAACGTGTATCATTATGAGCAATGTGTTAAATTCTTCTGGTGTCAGGTTATTCCTGCTGTCCACTGTTTGTTTGTCAGCAGGATTAAGCAAAAACTAAGTACCTGTACTTTCATGGTATTCCGTTAAAGACAAAAGTGATGTACCCACTGATTTGTATCGCTAATAATAAAAATAATATTAGATGGAAACCATACAATAGTGACCTCTTCCTATAAGGCTGCCATTTGTTCTCCTCTAATGTTTAAGACTCTAAACAAGAGGACTTCCTACTGTAACTGACCAGAACATCTGATTTGAAAATTCCCTTCCTGTTTCCTCCTCTATCTGAGTATTTCATCTGCCTGTGTGCTCATTCCAAGTTCTTCCCTGTAAAAACTCTGCTCCTTTATAAGCACCAAACTAATAGGCTGCCTGTGACTCTAAAAAACCTGCATAATAAATGGTACATCTTTAAAAAACTAACTAACTTGGAAATGACATACTTTTGGGTCTAAATTTATATTTCATCCAGACCCTGATGTGCTGACCGAGGAAATGTGCTTTTTGCAAACGGCTGAATAATCCTGAAATGTAGACAGTAATTTGAGTATAACATAAGCACAAGTATCTTTAAAGGAGCATTCACACAGTTAGTTTGTGCAGCGTGAATTCTTGTACAGTCTGGGTCTCACCTGCTGGATCCAAGGTCCAGGAGAGAGTTGGCTTTTGACATGCCAGAGGTCGGAGAGAACGCCATGGGCGAAGAGAAGCCAGAAAGAGGGAGCACTGAAAAAAAAAGTAGGAGGGGGCGAGTAAATAGTGAAAATCTAAATATGACATATTGAAGGTAATGTGATAAAATGTGTGAGGCATTTGTGCATGAATATAAATACATAGAGAGTGTGCATGTATGGTTTTCTTACACAATCAATCTCTGATATACTGCAGTTGCCCTTGAACATATCTAATCTTATCTCTCACACTCTACAGTCACAGCACACAGAATTCCAGCAGCAAAGTTATTGACATCTGACTAAAAACAAAGCGGATCCTAGTTGTCTGCAGCATGGCACTAACGAGGACTGAGAACTGTATAAATTCTTGTAAGAAGAGACAGAGGGAGATAACCATAGAGAGGGAACGCCAACTAATAGAGGAAATTCACACTTGCTCTCATTAGATTGTTCATTTCACAGCCAAACAGGGAGAGTGAGATTAAAAGGAACATCCAAGGGAGAGATAGAGGGGGTTAGAAATAGAGTAGACTACTTAAAGAAAAGAATGACTAAATTACTCCATGTATACATTGTATATATTTTACATAGGTAAAGTAACTGTAGTAAAATGGATAGATACATCTCCTTAGTTATGAGAAGCAGCTCTTTCTTCATACCGCAACAGACACACACACACACACACATATATATATATATATATATACACACTGATATATCAATACTCTGCAATGCATAAGACCTCAGGGAGTAGATAGATAAGCTGCAGCCTTTTCATGCTGGATATGTAATCCCTACTACACTGCTGCACCACTGACGCTCGGGACCTGAATAACTTACCCTGACACACTAAATATTACACTCAAGCACTGTGTTGCACAAGCTACACGTAATTCCATCACTACGATTATTCACAACGTTCGTCCTGAGTGGTTTCTATGAGGAAGCTTTAAATTAGTGATTGCTAAATGGGCAAAACCATTAAAACTTTAAAATCTTTCCATTTTGTATTTCTTTTTCTTTTCTGGTGATAATCTGTTCCTATCTGATTAGAAGGGTTCTGCTGCAGAACCAACCTGTGTTGTTGGGAACGAGTGGGGGGGTGAGGAGGCTGACATTGACGTTGGGGAGTCCGGCGCTTCCCAGGGAGGTGATGAGGGAAAAAGGCATTGGCGCCAGCGCCAGGGGTTGCCCAGAGGGCATGGGAGGGTTACCAGGGATGGGTGTTAGGATGGGCATGGCGGGCATAGTCGACATGGATGACAGACCAACAGACAGATTTGGCATAGAACCCATTCCTATAAGGAGGAAATACACAAGTGAATGAGTTAAAGATACTGAGATGAAAGTTACAAGTTACATTTATAAATGGGTTAATTTTATGATCACATTTTGAAACTAAACAGATCTAAACGTTCTTTTTCTAGTGCCACCGACAAAATGACATTTGAGAGATGTTATGCTCGCAGGGTAAAGGTGATATTTTTGCACTGTAGTTTTTACCAAAACGTGCTGATGACGGGGCAATTGGGACCGAATTGGAGACTGGAGGCTGCTTCATGATAATTGGCAGCACAGAAGGCATATTCCGGCCCTGAAGCTTGAGTTTGATGAGCTTCATAGCAATGGAGAACTCCAGTCTGTCCATCTTCCCATCACCGTCCATGTCGGCAAGGTTCCTACAGGACGGGGAGGGGGCGAGCGGCAAAAACATGATCCATTTATAGCAAATCGTACATTCCTGGTCATTTCTTTTGTTGTGAAAATAGAAACGAGGAGAGTTACACAAGAGACAAAGCTCTGCTGGGACTGAATTCCAGTCGTGTTGTTCACTCACTCACACACAAACACACAACCCTAGCTCTCTCTAAAACACATACACACAACCCTAGGTCACACACACACACACACACAC